AGCTCAGCTATCAGGAAGATGTGTGAGTGTGCGCACGCATGCGCTGTGGCATTCATCTGTCCACATAACTGGCAGTAGACTAAAACCAGAATCAATGCTGCAACCACAGAGCTGTGGCTTTGCTACTTCCTCAATTTAACAGCTTTTCCTTCCCTATGAAAAAACAACTGTCATATTTTGAGAAATAGCCTCCTTGTAGCTTGTAAGTAGGGCCAACACTGTCTTGGCTCTAATGAACAAAACTTTAACTCTGTAAGTGGGTCATTTTTAACCTCTGTCCTACTCACAATTAAAACCATCTTTCATTCTTTCAAATTTTAGGACACCTATAATTATCCATTACTGTACAATTATAGATCTGTGTACTTGGGTGCATTACTAAATTTGTTCATGATTGTCAGTCACAACAGCCTAGAAAATGTGAATGCCATTTGACTAAAATGATTCTAAACTTCTAAGACTAAGAAATCTTTAAAGTTTTGGGTGTAGATGCACAGAGGCTTGTAAGGTGGTACAAACCAAATAGTCAAGTTATTATGGTTTATATCTAGGTACCTCCCCAAAGCCACATGTGCTCACAGGTGGGCCTTTGGGGAGGTGACTGGATCATGGGGATGTGGGACTCATCAGTGGACTCATCCACTGATGAGTTTATAGCTAAATATGATGTTGAGAAGTGGAGCTGGGTTAGGAGAGGTACACCAGTGGGGCATGGCCTAGAAGTGACAACCAGCCCTTGGCTCCCCCTTGACATTCCCTGCCTTTCAAATGCCATGCCATGAGCAACTCACCTCCATCATGCCCCTCTACCATCCTCTTGGCACGATATGGGCTGAAACCTCTACAAACTGTGAGCCACAATAAATCTTTTCTCCAGTGATGAGTAAGTGATTAAGACAGAGATGCACAGAAGGGCTGAGTGGGTGGTGATGGTGAGAATGCAGAATAATCTGTATCCTAAAGGCAATTACAATATGAAGATACTTCTTTGTGGGGAAATTATGATTATCTGAGCTCAACCTGAGAGTTTAGGCACACATAAGAACCATGGGTTCGGGGCTGGAGAGATGGCTCAGTGGTCTAAAGCACCTATTTAGAACAAGCTTAGTAAAGCATCAAGGGACCGCGGTTCAATCCCCCAGCACCACATGCCAGCCAGCCCCGCCCCCTGGTGGGCTGAGCTGGCCACACACACACAC